TATATTTTTCTGATTGGTCAGCTTAGTTTTAAGTCAGTTAGCTAATTCCATATCAGCAACTTCCTTTTCCTTTTTCTTGTATCACTTTATAAGCTTTGGAGCTACTCTCTGTAAATCGCTTTTTCCATAAATAAGATTTTTCAGTTCATAAGATGGTATCAGATTAAGAACTCTAGTTCATTCTTCTTTCGCTAACGAGCGCATGCACTCTATCTTCAATCTTGGTGAACCAAAACCAAGTTCAAAACCAACTTTCTAATCATTTCTTGCTTCACCCCAACGAATCCCTTTCTTTGGTTCTTGTTTCTCTAGTCATTCTTCGTGAACACCATTATCAAATGCCTTTTCATTTCGCCGTTTAGTTCTTCGTCTCTTTTATTTAACTACCGTGAAACTCGACTTATGTTTTTCAGTGCAGCAATTAAGTCAATACGTATCAGCTCCAATAGATATTCACTAAGCGGCAACACACCGAATACTTCGTTATATAAAGAGTTTCCAGGTATTGACTTGTTTTTCCCAGCTGTAAACACCTTGAAACTCTCTGGTTACTCTGATTCGGATTGGGCATTTTGCCCAGATACCCGACAGTCTATAATCGGTCATTGTGTCTTCCTTGGCTATACTTTGATATCGTGGAAAAAAAATTGTGCCCAAATCATCTTGTGAAATCGAATATAGGGCCCTAGCTTGCCTTACCTGTGAGTTATAGTGGCTTGCCTATCTGTTGCATGACCTGTGTCTTCCTCAAGACCAACCTGCTTCCATTTTTAAGCCAATCATCTTCTACAAAAGATTAAAGAAAACATTTGATTTATGATAAAGATTATCTATATATAAAAGCAAAAATTAGATTATTATTATGTAATATTATAAAATTCAAAAAATAAGATTATTATTATTATTATTCGATTGAGTTTACCTGTCAACTCATATAAAGTTGAATGATATGATATTTTTAATCCATGGAAAAAGTGTTTATCCTTTTAAATGATACAACTTATATCCTTTTACTCTCACAAAGAAGTGGGACTCACACTTTTATTTTTTTGTCAACTCTCTCTTCTTTTATCTATCTCTTTCTTTCTCTTAAAATGATACAACTTTACATCTCTTAAAATAACAGACACTTTATCCTTAATCCATTTTTAAAAGATGAGGCAAACTCGTTTCAACCCATTTTGTCACTTATGCAGTGGCCACTTTTACGTCTTTGATTGGTTTTGTTGGGCAACAATTGGTGAGCAACTGCCGAGATGAAAATTATGGCCAGCCTAAATTATATAGCATAATATATGGGAAAATAAAATTTTATTTTGCAGGAATCGGATTTTTTTCTCCCGCTCTTTTTTCGTATGTAGCTCTTCTTTAGAATCCTTATCATGCAACGTAAGAATTCCATTGCCCATCGTATATATATATATATATATATATATATATATATATATATATATATATATATATAATTACATTCATTTACTAAAAAAAAACTCAATTGCCGCAGTAATTAATAAACTCCAACTTTGCTTTTAAACTCCAATCTTTCCCCAACAGTACAATTTGTTTATAAACTTGATGCTATTTAGCCTTTCATAAATCGAACAACCATGATTATAGGATTTCAGCATGTTCAAGCAAATGTATTCATATATTATACGAGGTAGGATTTTTTAAGATAAGTGTCAAATTTAAAGTTTGACACATCATCTGAAAGTCATTAGATAAAAAAAGATCAATGGTATCACATGCTTACAAATCAAAGTCGTTAATCTTTTTTGATCTAATGGCTCTTAGATGAAGGGTCAAACTTTAAATTTGACAATAATATCAAAAGATCGTACCCTTATATATATATATATATATATATATATATATATATATATATATATATATATAACGAGAGGAGTTGTACCTAAATTTTCATAGATGAAGATTAGGCTTGGTTTCTGCAGGCAGGCTCTGAAAGACAAAAAGAGATGATACAGCTGCAGACACTCCAATACTTAAGATAGGTTGTGCAAAGATATGGAGTGTGAAGATAAAATACATACTTGACACGATGATAAACCATGGAAAAAGCCCTTGTTTAGATATATGCAGGAATTCGAAGGTTGGCATTGATGGAGTGATTAAATTGTGAGTAAGGAATAAGGATAGTCAATTTAGAAGATTCACTTACTAGAGTTCTTATTTGGTATGATATTTATTGATTTGTTATTTTTGTCTTATAGTGGGAAGTAGACAAAGGGTTCGTGTGGGTCCCACAAACCCATCTCAACATATTTTTTTGATCAGTTAATTATTCATAAAAATCGTTCTGCCCTTATCTAATTTTCTTTTACGATAAATATTGAATATTTTCCTTGGATCAAAGGGTTAGAGGGAGCGAAAGATATGGTATTTATGGGACTGGTGGTGTCATGAACAACTTCGGGAGAATTTATAAACGGTTAAGAAAGTTGTTGTTGTTGGTTGAAACTATTTAAAATACTTGGTCGGTAACCACAATTATAAAAAAACTAGGGCACAATGGGAGGTTGTTGTTGCATAGAATAGTCTCTCTTGCTTTCAATGACGTTGTCCATCTCTAATTTTTCTCCATTACTGTAAGAGTTCTTGCTAGAAAGAAAATGAGTACTCAATCATTCTTTCTACGTGCCAAACAAAGCAAGATAATATTCGGATTTCTAAACCCAATTTTCGACATTCATCTTGCTATTACATAGGCAGATGTCCGATCAGGTGGATGACAGAATCAATTGTTCAACCACGATGACATTACCAGGACTAATGCAAAACAATTTGGTAGACATAAGAAATAAGAACATAATATTTCACGATCCAAACTAAGACGATAAGCATATTTCCATAACCTGCATTTTTCATATAAAAAAATACTAAATTGTACGGTTGTATATTTTAGTTTTGAAGAATTGTAAAATAAAGTGAAAATATATATTTGTTATGTTTTATCAGTTATTTATTTATTTTTCAAATCTGACTCTTTTTACTTTTCAACCATAATTGGTTATGATTCATTTGTACAAAAACTTCGGTGTTATTACATTGTTGTTTTCACATTCCACTCAGGGGTTATATGTTGAGATGTTTACAGCAGAGTAATTAGCAATGAAGTATAAAATGGAACTTATAAAATAGAACTATGTCAATTACTTTAGTAATAGATTGGGATGGTTAATTAAGAAGGAAACACAAATCATTCGTTACCATTACACGTTCCAATTTGAAGAATACAGAATAGGAGAATATTTTGGGTGCTTTCTTAGTAAGAATTTTTTTTTGCTCTACACTATTTAATATATATTTCCTCGATTATATATAACATTAAAAAATTGTTAAAGTTGAAAACAACAACAATTCACATAATTATATAATAGGAAACGATCAACTTCAGTAAATTTTAAAAATGTTTTATAATCATTATTATTGATTGATTCTTCTTTATTGTAATTTATTGGGTATATATATTTATAACTTGCTTTCAAAAAACCTTACATTTATTATTAGCGTTATATTCGGGATTTATAACTCACATAACTCTCTTCACAGCCATTAAATACAAATAGAGTTAATAATAAATGTAGAATTTTATATACTTAATATTAATATGCGTCAATACTTCCCAATATAATGTGTTGATGGCATATAGTAATACTAATAACTTTTTATTGAGCAGAAAACTTGTGACTTTTACATAATGGAGAGGGACTCTCCTCCATTTCCCTTATTAAAAGGGCCACGTAATTCAGTAATATTATTTTCTATTACGGGCCTTTTAACTTCATTCCTTCAGAACTTTTAAACATGGCCCAATTGTGGAGGATAAAAAAAAACATATTTGTTAACATCACAATATAAATTTATTTACTTAAAATACTTTATTATTAACATCATATTTTAATTTACTAAATTAAAACTATTATTTTAATTACAGAGTAAATTTCCTAGTTTAAAATTTCATTTTTGTATATCTTGTAATTCATGTGAATGTTATTTTTGAGAAACCGATATAGTTTAGGAGGTAGGATATTCATACTATCAAATTTTTCTACTACTACTTGACTACCAGAAAAAGTTGAATGAAGAGAGAGAAAGAAAAATAACTTTTGAATCCAACAGTGATCAAAGTGGTAGTAGAAAAATTTGGTAGTATGAATATTCTACCTCATAGTTTAGATATTAATAAATATACGTATTCATGAAGTAAAAAATATTAGTTGTAAATTAACAATCTAAAAATTAAAGCAGTATTTAAAAAACAATTTTTATCTCGCATGTTTGTGATTCGCTAATCCAATGGATGAATTAGTCGACGTGTGGCTCTCGTGATGCGACCAAATTATAACATTTATTTGGTTAAAAATTGTGACATTAAAATTAGAATTAGAAAGAACTAACCACTCCAATTTAGTATTTATCAATCATATTATATTCACGTAAATTAAAAAAAAATAGAATTATGAATCAAAGGAATGGTCTTATCGACACAAAGGGTGCAGCTCAGTTGGTAATTTGGCGCTGAGTTAATGGGGTTGGACATGTGTTCGATTCCTGTTGAATGCATTCTTGGGGAGGGGGCGGAACCTTTAGTCATCTCCCCCGCACTCCGGATTAGTCCCATAGCCGGCTCAAAAAGTCGAAACTCGTGGAGATACCGAAAGGAGCCAACTCGACTAGGTAATTAGGGTTGGGTAACTCAAAAAAAAAAAAAAAAAAAAACCTTAGCGTGTTTGATTCTCTCCCTTTATAATTACGAGTTAAATATCAACCAAATAACTTTTGGTCAAAGAACACAAGTTCACATACCATACAAAATTTATTTGACACCAACTTTAATGAGAAGGCGCATTCAATTAGCAGCAGATGTTAAGATCAATAACAGAGCTAGGGAAATTGCGTAAATTCCAACAAATGGGTGAGGTGAGACTTGAGAGTATAGCTAACCATGGAATGAAGACACATTTCAAAGTTTTGTTCCAAAGTAGAGTAGCAAATATTCCCATTACTGTTTAGGTTTATACAAACGAATAAATACTAAGTAACATAAAAGGCAAGCACATCCATTTATGCAAAGCGCAAACACACAAAAAACCCCAAGCTTTAAGCCTAGTCGTGAGTTGGTAACCCAGCTTAGCACAACTAAGGATGCTTTAATTTAATAAAGCAAATACTACAGAAACACGAACCTAATAAGACATTGGTGGTTTTATTTATGACCTGATGTGGTGTCGGTGGTGAATCTCATCTCCTGCAGCGCGTGATTGCGGAGCATCCTCTGGAGTAAGGGTGAACAGGGCCTCTGGCACTGAAGCAGTTGTGTGTGTAGTAAGATCTTCCAGAACGAGGTGGACATGGGATCCTGTTGGCGGAAAGAGCGCCGTACGAGATGTAGTACTTCATTCTCCTCCAGAACAAGGATCTCCTCTCAAGACTACCATCTATGTCTTCTTCGCTGTCGACTTCATCGTAGAGCGACATTGACATTGTGGTTGGCCATTCTAGAGCATCCGACACCAGCTTCATGCTTGCCTCGTCGATCTGTGCACCCACGCGCGCATTGGGGCTCAATGCGAGACAAAATAAGAAGAAGAGGGTGAGGTTGAGAAGAGCAGAGGAAGCCATGAGAAGAGAGCGTGCAGAAACAAGTGTGAAATGTGAAGTTACAACTCACAAGTTTATTTGATGGTGTGTTGTTTTGTTTGTGAGGACGAGGGAGGGGACAGAGGGAGGGAGTCACATGGTGTGTTAACAGAACCTTATTGGTTTACAGCTGTGGCTCATCAATGCCTCTATTATCGTGCGCCCCCACCTGTTTCCCACCCCTACACATGACACATCCCGTGCGCTACGCTCCACGGGTTGACCTAGTCCCTCCGACGTCGTTTTGGTTCGAGGATTTTGCACAAAATGTATTAGGTGCATCAGACGGCTGTGGAAGGAGTGGCGGGTTCGTGAGTTTGTAATAGTAAAGCATCGTAGAATATCTTGCGTGTTACCTTACGCAACGGTTCTTAATAAAGACGCCGCGGATGGGACGAACGGTGTTTTTAAATGAGTCCAATCAGTAATCACTAATCACACACCCACCTCTCTCTCTCTCTCTCTCTCTCTCTCTCAATAAGCTGGTAAATAAGTATTTGAGTAAATACCCATTTTGTTCCTCACCAAATTTCACAATGTCCGTTTTAGTTCCTAGCAAATAAAAAGGTCTATCGTGGTTCTTAAGAAATTCAAAATGGACTCATTTAGTTGAAATCAAAGTCTCTCACAAATTTAAAAAAGACCCATATTAGTCCTCAAAATGACTAAAATGGGTCCATTTTGAATTTTTCAAGGACCACGATGGGTCTTTTTATTTGTTAGGGACTAAAGCGGGTTTCGTAAAATTGCTAAGAACCAAAAAAGTATTTACTCTAATAAGTTTAAACATACAGGGAATTTTTTTCTCTACTTCTTACTAGGCTGAATATGCATTTTGCATATTAAAGCCATAAACATGTATACTATGCTGGTGAAAAGTTTACTCTCTGTTTTGATTGTGTTTTGATTTTTTTGTTCTTACAACTGTTTTGTAGAATAATTATAGAAATAGTTATTTTCTGTGTTTTTTTTTGTTTTAAAAGTTAAAAAATCAAAATAGAAAACAAAAACAACTCAGAGATTTGTTCTCTAAATTTGATTCTAAAAACAAAAAATAGTTACAGTTTTTAAATTTTTTTTTTTACAAAACAAGTCTTACCAAACGAGTTTTTTTATTTTTTTGTTCTGAAAACTAAAAAACTGTTTTTAAATACAGTAATCAAACAAAGCCTTAAAAACAGTAATCAAAAGGCTCTGTTTGATTACTGTTTTTAAAAACAGTTTTTTAGTTTTCAGAACAAAAAAACTCGTTTGGTAAGGTCTGTTTTGTAAAAAAAGTTCTTAAAACTGTAACTATTTTTTTGTTTTTAGAATCAAATTTAGAGAACATGTAAGAGTTATTTTTGTTTTGTTTTGATTTTTAACTTTCAAAACACAAAAAACAACTGTTTTCATAATTATTCTACAAAATAGTATTAAGAACAAAAAAAATCAAAACACAATCAAACAGCCGTAATTTTTTGTTTCGTTTATGCATTTATTTAAAATCGAATATATTGGGCCGTTAATTGCGGAGTAGAATATAATGAGTCAATGACAATAATGAAGAATGGATTATGTATTGAAAATAATAAAAGGAGCAGCTTTCAAGAATGTCGTATAGAGCCCACATATTATAAAGAATTTCAAATTTTCAAATCACATCTCATTCTTAAAACCCATTAGTAACCCATTACATATTACGTCCTTCTGATATATAAAAATAGGGAGTTATTAATCTCATGTTGCTTGAGATAGTTCTCTCATGTGTGAGAGATAAATATGTGGGGTCCACACTTTAAAATAAAGGAAAAAGAAATGGAAAAAGCTGGCACAAAATTCGATGGGTGTATAGCATGAGATAGCTATCTCCAACGAAATGAGAAAAATATTTCCCATAAAAATAAGTTATCAAAATAAAAAAGTTGATATAACATGAAAAATTGTCCCGGCATTCAGTGAGTTAGGAATGAAAAAATTTCTAATCACATCTCATTCTTAAAGCCCATTTGTAACCCATTTGTGTGAAAAGGAATGATCTAAATATTGTAAACTAGGATTAATTTCTTACTTACAAGTTATACATAACACTAAAAATTATTTTAAAAATATAAATATATATTGATTCAATCACCTGAGCCAAACCAATTTGAATTTAATTGGATTTGTTCAATTCGAATTAGCCAGAAACTTTTACCAAACCAAACCAACTCAAATAAAAAAATTAATGGCATTTATGTTTCTCCAAATATGAAATATGCGAGATAGAGACTCAATCCAATAAAGGTCCGGAGGGTCCAAATAATCACCAAGTTTGACCAACAAGGCAAATCATCCATCATGCGTAGAAACTGTGGGAATCTCACCTACTTGGCTAGCAAGCTAAAGTGACTTAACATGGAAGAAAACATCATTGTCGAGATCAGCTCAGGAAACTTGACCGCCACTTGAACCCAATGAATGGATGGTAGCACTAGCTTACCACTACATCAACAATGACTAGCCTAGCCATAAGCTTCGCAACCAAGGAATATCTTGTACAAGGCCACCCTTCTCCACTAATGAAAATGAACATCGCCCTACGAAAGGCAGCATGAAGCAAGGCATTATACACTATAAATACATAGGCATTCAGCCCAGTTAAGATATCTCTCCTTGAATACTTAAATCATATTAAACATTGAATTGACTTGAGTGTCAGAGTGCATTACAAATACCCCTCAGTCTCGTCCAAACCGCTCAGATATCAACCTCGCAACTCTTTCATCTCACTAAGCTACTCAACATCTCAGCAAGACTCCTTCTCAACTTTCATTATCTTCATCAACGTCCTTCATCCTTAACCGTGTGTGATCAAGCTCAACCTAATATAAGTTGGATAGATCACCACCTAAACCTAAGTACTACGTGAACCATTTATATTCTTAAAGGATCGAGGTATATTGGCCTTAAAGTTATGCGTATTTAATAAATATGTAATAATATCAATTATTAAATATATCTTTTATATAACATGAATCATTCTTCCTCCATTTAGTCAATAATTATGGGAGGAAATCGTGTGGAAATAATATTTGAATATATATATATATATATATATATATATATATATATAAGAGTTTCATTATTTGATTTTTTTTTATTAATATCAAATATAGTCCATTTATTTGTAAAATAAATTTTTCCATAAATTGATTAAAAAAATTCTTTAAAATTTTAATAATATTTTTCCAACTATAATAAATTATTTGATAAAAATATTGTGTAGATCAACGATAATTCATTTAATATTTTTGAAATAAGCTAGGCATAAAAAATCTTTTTTTTACAAGCTCATCCAAACGGGCCCGAGTGCGAAAAGGTGAAATATGGGCCAAGAAAACCGCACCATGTGATGCAATATGTGAGTAGGATGTTCATCAACCGATTCAAATCGCAGTAGCCGAACCAAAAAATCAATAACCGAATTAACTGAAAATAAAAAAAATAAAAAAAAAATCTTACATATTTTAGTTGGATTGAATCGGTTTTCGGTTTGGTTGGTCAAAACCTATCCAATCCAAATAGATTCAATGTATTATGTATTTATTATTTTTGAAAGATTGTGACTTTGAATCTTGTTATTTTGTAGACTTAGAATCTTGGATGTTATTGATAGCAAACTATCTTGTTTTAGTTTTTTATTGTCTATTAATGTATTTTAACTCTTTATGAGTTTTAATACTTGTTTTAGTTTGAAGACTTGAAATTTTTAGTGGTTTGTAACTTTGTATGGCTTTATTTGATATAGCTAGTGATTTGTATGTATAGCTAAAATTTTAGGCTTTTCGAAAAATCAAAAATCGATCCAATCCAGACCGAATAAAATTGGAATGAATTGGATCGAATATTTAAAAAAATGAATAGATGATTAAATGGTCAAACTAAAAAGGATTGGATCAGATGACTTTTTCTTCAAAATCGATCCAATTCAGACCGTGAACACCCTAATAGCGAGTTTCGCTAACTCTAACTAGATTATGCCATATCTAATTGATGTATACCATTTTCTTTCAAATTAAATGAAAAAATTAACATATTTAAAACCCGGATCGGTCTGACCAGGTTGACCCAGATTTCAGTGACACGGTGCCCTCACCGGTTCAAAAACTGCTCGATAAGGGCCAATCGCTGTCCATCAATGATATTGCTTCATCTGGATTTCTCAATAATAAAAGCATGCCACATTAGCTTATGCCAAATAAAATAACTCACTCTCATCCTAATGTCACCGTTGCAGACATCTTGACCTTTGATTCAAATGGGCCACCAATCTCGGCTATTAAACCTCAAGTCGATTAACTTGTTGGATCACACCTTGAGTACAAGGTTAAGCTTCATGGGGGAACGAGTGTAACAGCCCAACCCAATGGCATATGACCCAATAGTAATATATTTTATTTTTTAATATGTATATCCGAGTCAATCGGTTGAACCAGTGACTCGACCAGGTCAATGACCTGACCGAGTTTTAAAACACTAGGTAGGAGTGGACATTGAAAAATTAATTTTCACTCAATTTATTTTTGTTAATTTTTCGTTGATTTAATCCTACATCGATAAAAGGCCGAGTCATTAAATATCAATTCGATAATAATAATTTTATATATATTTTTTAAAATGATATAATAAAATAAAATGCTCAATGAGTATCTTATAACAAACAAAAGATTACGGGAATAATGCCCAAAGTAAATAAATGTTTGTTTTTGTTGCAGCACAATACCGGGGATCAGATATTGGAGGAGTCCGAATCAAATTTTATGGCTGCTAAGTAGAGCTGTCAAAATGGGTTAAAGTTCACGGGCCAACCCTTTTAGCCCCATTTTTTTAACCCGTTATGTAATAGGGCTATTATTGGCCCCAACCCCATTAGCCCTCTTATTTTTTGGGTTAGGTTGGGGCTAACCCATTTCAATTTTCGATTACCTTTCTTCGTCGTATCAAATCCCTAACTTCCCTTAGGGGGT